GCCATAACTTCAGCAAATATTAGTTATTTCAGCATATATCAGTTATTTCATTTTTTCCTTTACTACCTGCATCTGCAAACCTTGGACTGTCCACACTGGGATGCTTGTTCTTGCTCTAGCAAGAATTTTGCAGCATTATCATAATTAGTGATCTTTGATAGGGACAGTCAGTGCAGACTGGAGAAGGTCAGAGCCAGAATGTAAGCAGATCCACGGTGAAGACGCACAGTTAAGTCTGAACACGGGAACAAGGGCGGAGGACATGTGTTTAAGACTGAATTTGAGACATCGGCTTACATGGGAGAAGGCAGTTGAGGAGTAGGAGGGGAGGAAGAAGTATGGAAATACCGTTAGCCAATTGTTTATACTGAATTCAGGATTTGGGGTATCTAGGACTTGAGACAGGCAATTCATGGGACTTAAATCACCAATACCTGGAAGATCTTTGTATACAGCTGGCATTTGAGAGAGTCATCAGCTGATATTTGTGCCTCAATCATGAGGACACTGGAATATAGAGGCAAGAAATCCAGACTCTGCAGAGAATGAGGTGTCAGAAGGAGTTCTGTTTGGAGGAAGTTGGGGAAAGAAGAAACTATAGGGGAGCCTGGCCAGATGCAAGGATTTAGTTCAAGGAAATGAGTTAAGATTCTCTTGGGCAGGATCACCCCGGGGTGTGTGGCCCCTGCTTATAAACAATTGAAGTCACCCAAAATCTGTGTGTCAGCACCATTCTAGCGGCCCAGTTCCACATGAATGCAGGGGGGAAAGGTGCCTGCTGGCCACTGGAGCTGTCTGTCACCAGTCTGTCCTCCTAAAACTGGTGCCAGCCATGGGCTCCCCAGATGACTCCAAGGGTGCAGATCCCAGAGCTCTTCAGGGCATCCGGGCGAACTCTCTGGTTGAATAGGGAGTGCTGGGGGGTACAGTGTTGAAAAGTGCCCCAAAAAGTAGAAATGGAGACCAGGGCCCACGCAGATCCTGGTCCAGACTTGGGTCCCAAGCACTGGATGACGGCTAGAAAATTATGAGGAAGGTGCTCCGAAGAGAGAGGAAATGCAGGGCCCAGCTTCAGGGCGTTGTTTGCCCAGGTCCAAGGAGGTCCTTAACTTAGGTCAGAGTGGAATTAACAGCCCCTGTATATTAACTTATTTAGGAGGAGTAACTGTCTGGGAATAAGATTGGTCTTAAGAAGGGATGACCCTACTTATGGCAGTTAAATGCACCTAGTTGTGAAAGGTAAGCATGTTGGTTCTTAGGAGTTACAACTAACCTAGACCAGTGGTTCTCCATGCTGGCTACACAGTAAAATCTCCTGAAAAACTTTAACACAGAGTAACACACACACGCGCGCGCGCGCGCACACACACACACACACACACACACACACACACACTGCTGGACTCCACCCCAGACCAATTAAATGAATCTTTGGGAGTGAGGGCCTGATATCACCGCATTTTGACACTCTCCATGAAATGGGCTCAGTGCACAGCCAGAACTGAGAGCCGCTGCTCCAGCTGTTCCTCCCCCCGGGGTCAGAGTCCCGTTGTCCGTTTCTCCAGTAACGGCACTCCTTGCTCCTCGATTCCTGGGATCCCCCTCAGTAGTCGCTGACCACAGACAGCCGTCCTCTCCAGCTGCATCTGGATTGTCTACAAATGGGGACCCTCACCCACTCTACTCTGTCAGCCGCAGACATTGTAGATCTCAGCTGGGCCTCCAGACACTCCGCCTTCCGTCCGGGGCTCTCTCCTGCCCAGTGCCTCTGTTTTGCATTCACCGTATTGCACACGTTTATTCAGTCAATATAGACCTGCAGTCGTCAGTATTCTTGGAATCAAACAAATGGGTTATTTAACTTTGAAACCCTTCTATCATATCCTTTTGCAAAAAGCACTCTGAGGGCTCCATTTATTTTTAAACTGTAAAGTAAATGCAATTTAATTTGGTTTGGAGATTTTGGAGATGCTCTAGAATATCTTAAAGTAGATTGAAAATAATTGCTATAGAAATATCATATCCCGGGCCAGCCCCGTGGCTTAGCAGTTAAGTGAGCGTGCTCCACTGCTGGAGACCTGGGTTCGGATCCCGGGCGCGCACCGACGCACTGCTTCTCCGGCCATGCTGAGGCCGCGTCCCACATGCAGCAACTAGAAGGATGTGCAGCTGTGACATACGACTGTCTACTGGGGCTTTGGGGGGAAAAATAAATAAATAAATAAAATCTTAAAAAAAAAAAAAAAAAAAGAAATATCATATCCCTTTAAAACAACAAGGAAACCAAGGCTCACCATCAGCCCTGTCTGAAAGCTTATCTACGCAGCTAAGCGAATGTCCCAAGCATTTGTACTTTCCTCCCCAAGATGAGAAAAGTCTATTGTAGTCAAGATGCTCTGAATTCTTCCTCTGAATTCCCTCCACTTCTTTCCCTCATTCACTTATTCATTCATTCATTTTAGGCCTTAGATGGCTTCAAGGTACTCCTGTTGGAGGAAAATAGACGGAAAAAGCAAGCTACCAGAGTACTTTTTAACCCCACAAATCTGATTCTTATTAGGAATGGAAAGAAACTGCAGTTGCTGCTTAATTAGGAGCAACTACATTTATTTTACAAAATCCTTCCTTAGCAAAGATTCCATCTCGTGTTTTTGAAGTTCTCTCCTGTAGACGCTAGCCTGTGAAGCCAACAGCATTTAAGTGTGGCCTTCCTGTGACATTTTAAAAGTCAGCCAGGGGGGCCAGCCCTGTGGCCTGGGGGTTAAGTTCGGCACGCTCCACTTCAGTAGCCCGGGTTCACCGGTTTGGAACCCCGGGCATGGACCTGAACCACTTGTCAGCCACACGGTGGTGGTGACCCACATACAAAATAGAGGAAGATTGGCATGGTTGTTAGTGCAAGGTGAATCTCCTCAGCAAAAAAAAAAAGTTACTCAGAAAAGCTGTATCAACCTGCAAAAACAGAAACCAGTCTAAGAGACAAAGCATTTATTTGGGATCAAAGAATTGCAATTCGGGGAGCACAGATTCAGGTAGAAACCCAAATAATGTCCCAATTACAGGAGAGGACTTAGAGTTTTTATGGGGAAAAGGGAGGGTGAGATGAGTTGTATTAAGGAGTTCACTGGTGCAGGATGAGGTCTGGCTGGGTTTGTACTTCATAGATTGGCTTGAGATCCAGTCATCAGGCAAAAGGCTAGACTTGTGCTTCGTTGGTTGGTTAGCGATTCTGTTATCAGCAAAGTCCAGTTCCATCAGTTCTTCCAGACAGGATGTTCTTGTCCTTACCGACTCTCTGGAATGTTGGCATTTAGTCCAGTTTGGAAGATAAAGAAAACAAGACGTGCAAGGCAATTCCTCTGAAATGGCTGCTCCGGCTCTGTTTTATTATGGCACCACTCATTGTCATCTCTCACAGCTGACAATATCTTAATAATAATTTTTATGTGTAAAATACCTTTACATCCTTCATCTTCTTGGAGTCTGACACCAACCTGGTGAGTGAGGGGCAAGGCATATGAGTCTAGCCCCATTTCCTTTTTCTGTTTTACAGTGAAGGACTGAGACTCAGATGGCTTACGTGGCTCTGTAGAAAACACGCAGTGAGTCAGAATCAGGACTCAATTGCGAGATGTTGGAGTTCACAAGTCTGGTGCCTCCTCAGCACTGAAATGTGAAACTTTCAATCCCTACAGTCCTTATTGAGTACTGTGTTAGCCTGGGTTCTCTAGAGAGAAACAGAACCAATAGGAGATTTTATATCTATAAAGAGATTTATTATAGGGAATTGGCTTATGTGGTTATGGAGGCTGAGAAGTCCCAAGATCTGCACTCAGAAAGCTGAAGACCGGGGAGAGCCAGTGGTGTGGTTCCAGTTTGAATCTGAAGGCCTGAGAATCAAAAGAGCCGATGGCATAAGTTTTGTTCCAAGTCCGAGCCCGAAGTCAGAAGACCAGTGTCCCAGCTTGAAGACAGTCAGGCAGGGAACATTCTCCCTTCCACCACCTTTTGTTCTGTTCAGGCCTTCAGCAGATTGCACTGGGAGGGCAGTCTGCTTTACTCATTCTACCATTCACATAATAATCTCATCCAGAAACACCCTCACAGACATACCCGGAATAACGTTGAACCAAATATCTGGGCACCCCATGGCCCTGTCAAGTTGACACATACAATTAACCGTGACAAGTGCCCACATAATTGTGTGTACATCTCAGTGCCAGGCGTTCCTGGTACTGCCCCATTCTTGTATCCCTCCCCGAAGTCAGAAACCCAAGTTTCCCTTTTGCATCCCACTTGACCTAGTCCTTTAATCTCTATGGTTCTGAGTTTTCTCAACCGCGAAATAAGGGGGGTCAGGTTTAGATGAATTTGTAGGACACCTCCAGCTCTAAAACAGTGTTTCTGTGATTCTAGAATTGAATTCTAAGGAAGACTTTAAAACTGACTCGACTTCTGTTTCGTCAAAACTGTGTTCCGGAGCTGTGTTCCAGCTCCAAGGAAAGCGTGAATATTACATGTACTTACTCATCAAGTAAGATCAACATGATAAAGAACAAAAATTCAACTCAGTAAATTTAAAGACTTAAGTGGCTTTATTCAAGGATTCATGCATCAGGCAGCATCCCACCCAGCAAACAGGCAGGAGCTCCGAGGAGCTGCACAAAATGGAAAGTTTTTCTAGGCAGAAAGAGGGTGGGACAAGGAAGCTAAAAGAGTGGATTATTTCTGGCAAGGTCAGCTTCCCTTAGGGAAAGGCTGGGGGTCTCATCAGGCAGATCACCTCACTCTGCTGATCAGGAAATTCCAGACTGATTGGTTTAAAGTTTCACTCCTGGTAGAGGCTGAGACTGCAATTAGGTTAGATATTAAGTCTTGGCGGGGCTTAGCGTAAGTGACTCCATTTTGGGCTTGTTGTTTCTTTTTAACAAGGTGATAATGCTGTATGAATGAGTCCAAAAACAAAAATGTGGGGATCTGTTACGTGGTCAGCACTGTACCGAGGACCACGGTAGATGCAGATGTAGATTGTGACACTGTCTTTGCTCCAGGGGACCTCGCCATCTGATGGTGAGACAATTAGCACGTGAGAAATTCCGGTATGACGAAGCATGAGGTACAGACCACAGGTGCCGTTACAAACAGAGAGGGAGTCAGTGAGTAAGGCTTCTCCTGAAGAAGGAAGCAGGACTTGAGCTGGTTTTAAGAAACAAAACAAAGAAACAAAAACATGAGAAGGACTTAAATGAACAGAGGCAAAAGAGGAGGACTTTCCTGGCCAGGGAAGAAATCTAGGCAAAGATAAGCAAGAATTATTTGCATGAGAGTGAATGCACCAGGCAGATATGTTTGGATGGCTGGGCCTGCCAATAGAAGGCAGAATAAAAACAGTATTTGAGGAAGGTACAATCTGACTGCAACGGGAGGATGGATTGGGGGTGGGATGTCTCAAAAACTACCTACCTTTAACTGAGTGCCTACTATGTGCCAGGCTCTGTGATAGGATTTCATATGTATTACTTCGAATCATTGCAACAATCTACAAAGTGGGTTTTATTATCTCTCCATTTTACACATAAGGAAATTCAAGGTCAAGGAGATTAAGAAACAGTCCAGGTGTTTCTCACCCAGCTACAGGAGACTCAGTAAAAATTCCGACCCAGTTCCTCTGACTCCACAGTAGCCCCTTATCCCACCATCCCACACCGCCCCTCCCAGAACCGGGGTGCTGCTGCCACTGCATTCCCCCAAGTCAACCCCAACTTGCTCACTTGGTGAACTTGGTGGACTTGGCCACTGTGGCAGCCAGTTACTGAGCACCTGATCACCTTGCCTGGCAGTGACCTGACTTAGCTGTGCTGAATACCTAAACAATGCAGTCTGCCATTTGTGGGCTGTCTTGAGGACCGATTCTGGTCCTGTGTGTGGCAGGTAGTGTGACTGAGGGTGGAGAGGGCCATCAGATGCGTAGCTGCTCTCCTTGTTGACCCCCAGGGGCACCCTGCAGGGGCAGGCCCTGGGAATAGCTACTGTAATCACAGCCCAAAGCACCATCCCTCACTCCTGCCTAATGTGGAAAACCGTTGGTCACGCACCAGTGATTTCAGCAGCACCTGCACTTCCTGGCCTTTGAGCACAAATTAAAAACTAAATTTTAATTTAGACATTGAAGTTATTTACATGAACTGCTCTGCGACCATACAGAAGATCAGAGGCAGGGCCGGAAGTAGAAGTTACAGTTTATTGTTCCCATTGTCTTTTGTTAGTTTCTTAAAGAAATCAGAAGAGGGACGGTCACGTGTGTGCTGAGGGGGGAGGAGGGGATCCTATTTCCGTATAAGAATTTCTTTTAAATACTATGATAAAGACAAGTCATTGTAGAAACCTTAGTTCTGGAAGACCTAAGTCTTCTCTTTCTTTAAAAATAGAGAGTCGGTACCCCGTGCCCCGCATCCTTGATGTAGTTCAACCCAGACAGACACAGTCTGATGACATCACTGCGACATCCACTGGCTTCTCTGCTGAGACCTTCCAAGGTGTTAATTGCAGTTGTGAATTAATCATTATTCTGACTGAGCTAGACTCTTCTTTTCCTCTTGAAGATTCTCATTATTAAGTTTGCTTGAATTGGTGAATGTGAGGACACCATCAATGCAAATTATCACTCAGCAATTCTCTACTAAACATGCACAATTTTTTTTTTTTTTTTTTTTTGGTGAGAAAGATTGGCTCTGAGCTAACATCTGCACCCATCTTCCTCTTGTCTGTATGTGGGATGCCGCCACAGCATAGCTTGATGAACGGTGTGTCGGTCCGCACCTGGGATTCAAACCTGCTAACCCTGGGCCACCGAAGCGGAACTCGAAAACTTAACCACTACACCACCGGGCCGGCCCCCACAATTGTTTTTATCGTGCACTCTAACTATCGTATGGAATTTTTTATATGGAAATTCACAATTAACCACTTATTCTAAAATCCTGTTTTCATTCCTTAATGATAGTTCATCTTCATGAGTTCAGGATTTTTATCAGGTTCTGCTTTTCCTTTCAGACTTTGAAACCTAAAATGAAAGGCGCAATGGTTTCAGTCTTTTCAGAAAGTGACCTATTTCAGAAAAGAATATCAATAGAGGCCGGCCCGGTGGCGTAGCCTTTAAGTTTGCATGCTCCTCTTCAGTGGCCCGGGGTTCAGATCCTGGGCGGGGACCTACGCACTGCTCATCAAGCCATGCTGTGGCGGCATCCCATATATAAAAAGTAGAGGAAGATGGGCACAGATGTTAGCTCAGGGCCAATCTTCCTCCAAAAAAAAAAAAAGAAGAATATTGATAAATATTTGTACAAGTACTTTTCAAAAATAGTATCTCTTCTCTGCCTTCGTGTACATTAACAAAGCTATTGTGGCAGTCTCACCATGATGAAGATCATTCAACAAAACCGGTCACTAATCTGTCAAGATGAGGATGTATAAGTCCCCTATTTTCCAGAAGTTTTCAGTGCAGGAACTAAGGGCTTTACTGAAAGCATCTCATCAATAAAAGCTAGAGGAGGGTTGCTCCTGTGTCTTGGGAACCAGTGGGGCTCAGGAGGGGTCTAGCCAGGCAGGGGTCCAGCATTTGGCACAGAGCCCCTCACCAGGGTGCGTTGGGCACTGGGGATGCTGACCTGGTCGCACCTGCTGATGGTGGAGGTCTCAGTTGGCAAACTTGGGTGCTGTGGGTTCTAGTCTGGGCCTGGGTTTGGAAAAGAGAGAACTAAGGTGCAGAGACTGGAACCAGTTTGAAGCTTAGCAGGTGCCCATTTTTCAAAGAGGTAACATCCCTAAAGAGCCAGAAATCCAGGCCAGAAGTCAGCATCTAGCTGATTTGTCAATGAGCCACCAACTTGGGATTCAAGGAATAGAACTTACTCTTGGGAAGACTGTCTCAAGGCCAGGCTTCAGGCCCAGGAGAGGGCAGAGTACCAACAGAGTATTCCAGAACCTCTGCTCAGCGCACTTGTAGGACTCTGTCCCCTCTGTTGTACTCACCCCAGCTGGGAATACTAGTTTACCGTCTTCCCCGTCAGCTCCATGAAGGTAGAGATAGCCTGTCCTGTTTACCCTGTCACCCAGCACCCAGCACTGTGTTGTGGTTGTCATCACCCCAGCCCAGGCTCTTATCAGCTCTTACCCACATCATGGCAGTAGCCTCCAAACTGGTCTCCCCACTCGACTCTTTCATCTGTCCAATGTGTTATTTTGCTGTCACTCTACTTACAGCCCTTCAGTGACCTCCCATTGCTCCTAGGATGGAGCCCCAGTCCCACACATGGTCTCCAGGCCAAGCCATGCTTTATGCCTCCCCAGCCTCCCTTTCATCCAGCTAATTCTTTCTCATCCTTCAGCTCTCTCTTAGCAGTCATTTCCTGGAAGTCCTTCCTTGCAACCTTGGTCGCCCTATACTCACTCCAATAGCGCCTGGGCTGGTTTTTCACAGCATTTTCCCCAGCTTGTTACTCATTCCTGAGTGTTATTTGATGAAGGTCTGTTTCTCTAATGTGACGTGTAATTTCCATGAGTGCAGGGAATGCACCCATTTTGCTCAGGGCCTGGAACGTAATAGGAACCCTAACTCTATGTTGAATTAGCTCATGAATACTTTAGGTAGTAAGTCCAGTACTGAGAACTGGAGCTAGGGGAGGACTGAGGAGTGGAGGGCCCTGGGAAGGATGGAATTGGGGCAGCACGACAGGAAGCCCTGAGGGGTGATCTGGGACGGCCCGAGAACCTCCTGCCTCAGCTCCAGGCGGCCTCATTCACCTCTACCGGCAGCCAGAACAGGGACAGATGAATAAGCTACACCCTGCCCAAGACCACACAGTTGGTCAATGGAAGACCCAAGACTCAAACGGGCTCTGAGTTCGGGGGTCCCCTTTCACACCAAGGAGCTACTCTCCCTGTGCGTAAGAACAGTCAGGGGGCAGATAGATAATTCCTAAGGTGTTTGCCCAGGACTTCTGACTCACTCCGCTCTCTCTCAGTGACAGCAGCATCTGTGTACTCATTTATTCTTCAGTCGTGCCCAGCTTGGGGACCGACTGTGATGGATATTACCTAGAGGTTTGCACAGAACACCTGCAGTCCAGGCTTTGCTGGTGTGATGGTCTTCTGCCGGTTCCTGTGGCTCTGTTGCAGCCAGAATGCTGATGGAGCCGCTCGGGAAGCCAGATGGTAGCCTGGTGACACTGTGAAGATGCCGGTGGCAGATGAAAGCAAGATGGAATATGGATGTTCCTGTCTCGGCACAGGCTGTGGACCACAGCAAAGAAGCGGGCTCAGAAAGGAGTGCCACAGGTGGGCTGTGCAACTGCGGGGCAAGTGACATCCTGCACGCCAGGGGCAGGACGGTGTGGGCGCATTCCCACTGACGGGGGACTCTGGCAGAGGGAAGATGCACTCCATGTTTTCACTTGCTTCAGTGTGGAAGCTTTCTGTGAGAGGAAATCTGTGGCGTTGGGGGAGCGCGTTCCGTGTGTGCGGTGTGCAACCCGAGGTATCTTAAGGGGGCGGAAGCTTACTGCTACCCACTCCTTGCGCGGTTATGCTTCTGGTGATTAAAGGAATTGGTCCTGCTGTCCTTCCCGGTTTGCTTCATTGATCCACATCCTTGATTTTAAATCATTTTGTAAAAACAGAATTCACACAATGAAAAAACCAAGAAGGTTTTGGAAGCAATTTCTGTTGAACCAGTTAGAAATTGTAAAATCCTTTTTCTGCTTCAATTCCATACATCAAAAATACAGTCTATACAACGAAGGTCTCAGAAAATGATGCCTTTTCACAGTTTACCTAGAATCCTCATTTCTGGCTGTTTGTGCAAAAATTAGTTTCTATACTTTCGTCCCTTTTCAAACAATCTAAAAGCTTTATTTCAAATACCTTTGGTCGTTTCTTCTTTTATTTACAAGGTTTGTACCAAATGACCCCACTCAGACAGATGCCTTAGATGAAGAAAATAAATGGCTGTAGGAAGATAAAGACAAACTGTCCCTTCTTTCTCATGCTATGGGGCGTTCTTCACGTGTCCTTGGCATTCCTAGAGAGTTCTGTCTTTGTATCTAGACAGACAGTATCTGCAGTGATACGTGAATGGGTTGAGAATCGACCTTTGCACGTTGAACCACTGACTGTTTTACATACTAAATCAATCACATAGGATTGAGTCATTTTGGAAATGAGGATTACGTAACACACTTATTCCTCCATACTGTATTTTTGGAAGCTATTACAGAATTAGGATGTTCTTTAAATAAGGCATTATATTTATTATTAATCTCAAGCCATCTTTCCTCTGAGTTGTGCACACACTTGAAGCAGGGAACTTACAAATATAACATCAATTCACTGATCTGGGGTTTTTATTCATGAAATGAAAGCTTGCACTTTCTCATAGTCTTTCCAACTTTTTGGCCCCACAGTCACTATTTAAATAAGTGGCATAGAGTCTTTTGGACCTTGTCTGGACAGCACAGGTGCCCTCAATGTCCCCCGGCTCAGGAACTTGGTCTTGGGCTCCAGGAAAAGGCTCTCAGCCCTGGGGTGGGAGCTCTCCACACCTCCCTCCGAACTTGCTTCCTGGGTCTGTCCTGGGAAGCCCAGACCTCTCTTGTTCTCACTCTCGTCTCTAGGGTTAAGCTTTCAGCCTTCCTGGCTTCCCGGCAGGCCTCTCCTGGCCGTACATTCTCCCCTCGGGAGGGAGGATGGAACAAGGTTTATTTCCTGAGTGTGAAACATACCCATCATCTAATCTGTAAATGTTTTGAGACTGGTTTATTCATTCAACAGGTATTTCTTGAGCTCCTACTCTGTGCCAGGCCTGTGCTGGGCGCTGGGTATAGGGCATAAAACCATCAGGGTTCCTGCCGTACCTGGTAGACTGCCTGGTGGGGGAGGCAGACATCAATGGAAATGTCACACAAACACACACGTAAATAGTTAGAGACTGACAGAAAGAATGGTATAGGATGCTTTGAAACTGTATCAGGGTGACTTGGTCTGTAAGGTGAGGGGGGTAGAAAAAGTCACGGAATGATTTTTTAGACACAGTCCTGTTATGTAGCTTAATCCAGACCTTCTCCATCAGTACAGTCTCCCCGGGGGCTTTAATAAATACCCGAGCTTGGGCTTCACGCCCAGAGGTTCTGATGTAATTGGCCTGGGTGTCAATACTTTCTCCAAAGCTCCGTGTGGTTCTAAAATGCAGCCAGGCTAAGAGCTTCCTCTTTAAACCTGTGTGTTGGTGGTTTCAATGTCCTCCACTTCTATCAGATGTTCAAATGCAAACCATCTATATTGGGATAGCTCTAACTAAAAGTTTCCATGAAGTTGGAAACAATACTTGTTATTCCTTACTCATTTGGAGTAATTGCCAACGAATACCTTACAAGATATACTTTTGTTGTCTTTAAAACAGTTTTCCGGGCAGGCCCAGTGGCTTAGCGGTTAAGTGCGCGGGCTCCGCTACTGGCGGCCCAGGTTCGGATCCCGGGCACACACTGACGCACCGCTTCTCCGGTCCGGTCATGCTGAGGCCGCGTCCCACATACAGCAACTAGAAGGATGTGCAGCTGTGACATACAACTATCCACTGGGGCTTTGGGGGAAAAAAGGAGGAGGATTGGCAATAGATGTTAGCTCAGAGCCGGTCTTCCCCAGCAAAAGGAGAAGGATTAGCATGGATGTTAGCTCAGGGCTGATCTCCTTCACAAAAATAAATAAATAAATAAAACAGTTTTCCTTTTGAACGTACCATCAGCATCTTATTAAACATTTGAAGAAGAAGAAGGGAGACACATCCATAAACTCACTATCCTCTCGCATGCACTGAGAATTTGGGTGTATTTCCTTCTCCCCTCCCCCGGGCATCTGTACCGACAATAAATTAAATGGTGATTTATAACCTACAAATACTTTGAATACAAATTATATATTATAGGGGCCGGCCCGCTGGCATAGTGGTTGGGTTTGTGTGCTCTGCTTTGGTGGCCTGTGGTTCACAGGTTTGAATCTCAGGCACAGACTGATGCACTGCTCATCAAGCCATGCCATGGCAGCGTCCCACATACAAAATAGAGGAAGATGGGCATAGATGTTAGCCCGGGGCCAATCTTCCTTAGCAAAAAAAATTAAAAACAAAAAAAAATTATATATTATATAATCTATATAACATAAATTATATTTTTTGGACTGAGAAAAATTCTTGAATCCTGTGACCACCCACCCTCTAGCCAGCTCGACACGATTCTCGTCCTTACCTCTTGGTCAAGCATTGTTCTCTGGCTTGAAGGAATAAAATGTGGCTTGGCCAAGGTCATGGTGACCTGACTGCCAAGCTCACAGACTCCTGAGCCCTCTCCCTGCTCTCTGCAGCATTTGGCCCAGTGGAACACTCTCGCCTACTCGAAACCCTCGTCCCTTGGCTCCTAGAACCGTTTTCCCCCATTTTCCTCCCAATTTCTCTGAGAACTCTTCTCAGTTCCCTTTGCAGTCCCTCCTTCTGGTCCTAGGTGTTAGGATTCCCCAGGATTCCTTCTCTGGCCCTTTCTTTCCTCACTCTACTTGCCCTTCCTTGGAGATTTCATCTAAGCCCAAAGCCCCGGTCATCAAGTGTATGCTGACAACTCCCCGGGGGAGCCTGATGTATGGAACCTCCACAAGGCCAGCATATGGCAAGAAACAAAATGTGGAAGTCTGATGCTAGGGTGCAGCAAGAGAGTCCTTGTATGGAGACAAGCTGGACATTTCAATACTGACCTGTTTTCCCTTCTCTTCACCACCGCCCACCCCAAGCCCTGCCTAAAACAGAACAAAAGACAGCAGACTGAGCCCCACGATTCTCTTCTCCTGACCTACACATTCCCCACACCTCGGGACCGTTGAGACCAGAACTTGGGCCAAGGGGCCATGTCTGCTCACACGTCCACGTAACCTCCATTAGTGCATATCTTTTGCAGGTTTGTTTGGAAATACAACAGAGTGAAAAGTAGCCTTTGCTGAGTCCCCAGTCACCATTCTCATGACTTCTTAAGCCTGGACCAGCCTCTGTGGCCTGCCTTGCTCACTCCCAGATCTATAGTTCCAGTCCACGGCTCTCATCCGCACAGCTCACACAACTGTCTCCTGACTTTCTCCACCCAGCAGGGCCACAGGCCCCAAGTGGGATCTCCATCTTCTTTCTTTTTGTTTTTTTTTGGTGAGGAAGATTGTCGCTGAGCTAACATCTGTGCCCATCTTCCTCTATCTTGTATGTGATATGCTGCCACAGCATGGCTTGATGAGCAGTGTGTAGGTCCACACCCAGGATCCGAACCAGCAAACACCGGGCCACCAAAGCAGAGTATGTGAACCTAACCACTAAGCCACCAGGCCGGCCCCTCCATCTTCTTTCAAGAGCCCTCTCGGGGTGGATACCCTAACTCAGTGGTTGGCAGTGCCAACCCACTATTCCACCCTCTTGCTCATGCTGGAAATTTGAGAATGAAACTAACGTTTCTCTCCTCTCCATGCCTGTACTCAGTCGTGGATGGAGTCCATCTCGTAAACACCTTCCAAGTCTGCTCTCCTCCCCTCTAACACCCACTGTCACTGTTCAGTCCAGGCTTCCAGGACCTGTTAAGGCTTAGGGTTAAGGCTTAAGTGTGGAGCCAGTAGCCTTCTTTGATTTGAAAAATACATACACAACCAGAAAATGAGAAAAATTTATTCCATTATTGAGAAAATTATTCTGGGGCTGGCCTGGTGGTGCAAGCGGTTAAGTGAGTGCTCTCCACTGCAGCAGCCCAGGGTTCGCCAGTGCGGATCCCGGGCATGCACCGTCGCACCGCTTGGCAAGCCATGCTGTGGCAGCATCCCATATAAAGTGCAGGAAGAAAGGCGTAGATGTTAGCCCAGGGCCAGTCCTCCTCAGCAAAAACGAAGAGGACTGGCATGGATGTTAGCTCAGGGCTGATCTTCCTCACAAAAAAAAAAAAAAGAAAAGAAAATTATTCTGGTTATAAAGATTATAATTATTTTTCTGAAAATGGAAAAGGTTATACAAAGTCACCATTTATTTTTATTACCTAAGCTACAACAGATTTATTATTTTTTAAGTGATGATTATCTTATTTTCCCCAAATAATCAAGAAATTAGAGAAGTTTTTGTTGGCTCATTTTCTTTTTGATAACTAGGACTTTACTTTTCACAACTTAAACTATATCAGTCATAAATTATCCAACAAGCTTTTTCTTTGGATGAGGCTCCTAAAGGACTTGAGACCAAGGAAGCAAGTTCAGCTGTCTCACATTGGAACACAAATGTAACTGAAATATAGAGGTATATTATCGGGCAGAAGAGTGCATTGTGGGGGCCAAGAAAGTAAAAATAGTGTTCCTACAACATGCAAAGCCAGTGCCAATGCTTAAAGCAGCATTAAATGGATTGAAAAGCCCTCCTAAATACAGTTTTTCTATATTCTCTCATATTTCTAAACATAAATTATCATTAGCAAATAATTATGATGAAGAATAACATTGTCACTTAATTTCCTGCCAGCTGAGCCCTGGCAGAGTTGAAGTGTGCTGAACTCAGGAGCGAGCAATCTTAGAACTGAACAATTAAGCCCAGAGAAGATGGGAGTAGAGGTTACCGTGGCAACCAGATCCTGCGCCCCGAGCGTGGCCTATTGTTTCAGTGTTGGCGTCACAGAGCTGCTTGCTGTGACAGAGTGCAGGCAGAGTTTGGGTACAGACGAGAGCTTCCCTGGTGCAAGCTCGGGAAAGACAGGTACTCCAGTCTGCGGAAGAGGGTTGTATGGTCTTCAGTGAAGGGACAGCAAATGAATGGAAATAATTAGGAGCAGCTAACAACGATGTTTAAACTATGCCATAAAAATACTGGCATTATAGGCTCTGTAAAATAACTGCACTACAATTCAATCGTTAGGTATGGTTGCATAGCTAGTTTTCATCCACTCACTAACACCGGTTAAAGCCCAGGGTGTGTCAGACACTGCAGGTGCCGGGAATCAGTGAGCACAACAGGGAGACACGCGGCGTGCAGTCCACAAATAACCTGTGGAGTCTGGTGTGCTCGAATGTGGTGAGGACCAGGAGGACAGGAAACAGGCAGGGGCCTGGGAGTGCTGGGGACGGTGGGCTGCGTGTGGGCTGTGTGTGGGCTGTCAGAGGGGACCTCGTAAAGAAGACGACATTTGAACAGACTCAGAAAGGTTGAGGGAGTGAGCCACACAGACATTTGCAGGAGAACATTCCAGGCAGAGGAAATGCCAATGCAAAGGCCCTGGGGTAGAGGTACAAGGAGCAGCGAGGGCCCTGGAGTTCAGTGAGCGAGGGGAGACTAGCACAAGCTGAGATCAGCGTAGTAGCAGAGGGCAAGGTCACATAGGGCTCTGTAGGTCACTGAAAACTTTGGCCTTTATTCTGAGAGGAAGAGGCAACCACTAAAAGATTTTGAGCAGAGGAGTGACGTGACCAGTTAGGAGGCAATAGCAACAACCAGGAGGGAAAATTACGGTGACCAGGGGTCAGCAATGGAAGAGGAGATCGGTAGTCAGATTCTGGATATACTTTGAAAGTAGATACAATAGGATTTCCTGATGGATTGGACGTGGGGTATGAAAGAGGGGCGTCAAGGATGACTAGGAGGGGCCGGCCCCGCGGCGTAGCGGTTAAGTGCGTGCGCTCTGCTGTTGGTGGCCAGGGTTCGGATCCCGGGCACGCACCGATGCACTGCTTGTCAGGCCATGCTGTGGCAGCATCCCATATAAAGTGGAGGAAGATGGGCACAGATGTTAGCCCAGGGCCAGTCTTCCTCAGCAAAACGAGGAGGATTGGCATGGATGTTAGCTCAGGGCTGATCTTCCTCACACACACACACACAAAAAGATGACCACGAGGTTTGGGGCCTAAGCACCTGGAATGATGGAATTGCCATCATTTGGGATGGAAAGACTGTGGATGGGTTTGGTGGTGGAGGTGGGGTGGGTGGGAGAGCGGAATAAGGTTTGAGATGCTTCAGGCACACAAGGAGAGAAAGAGAGTTGGGTACACAAGCCCAGAGTTTAGGGGGAGGTCTGGGCTGGAGGTCTGAAGTGGGCAGTCCTCGGGCAAACAGAGCCACGAGACCCGGTGAGAGAGCCGAGGCCTGAGAAGAGCCTGGGCCCTGGGGCTCTGCGGCAGGAAGATGTTGAGAAGGAAAGACGCGGCCAGCAAAGGGCTGCGGAGGAGCCAGAGCAAAGAGCAAACCCAAGAGCCAGGGGGCCCAGCTCGTCCCCTTCCTCGTCCCAGGCAAGGAAGGCATTTCCAGGAGGAGGGAAGGGGCCAAGGCGGCAGAGGCCGGTGACAGAGAAGCTGCCACTGACTTCAGCCGTGAGGAGGGCACTGGCGCCCTTGACTCCTCCGAGGACGCGGGTGGAGCCTGACAGCGGGAACAGGCAGCTGCTGGAGATGGCTCTTGGGAGGAGCGGTCTCACGGGACGTTGTAGAGGGAGAGGGGGATGAGGAGAAGTGTTGGTTTCCAGATGGGAGATTTAACATGGACAAAAACAGAGCGTGTTTTCATGCTATCTGTTTATGAATTGTTCCTGCTTTGTAATTCTGACTATGTTATATTGAACGTTATCCTCCAGACTCTATTTCCCCTTCCCTAGGACCTCCAGTTAGTCAGAGCTCTGCCTACACCTGAGATATGGATGCTTTCCTGGCCACGTTAGTGTCTTTTTTCTTTTCTTTTCTTTTTTTGCTGAGGAAGATTAGCCCTGAGCTAGCGTCTGTTGCCAGTCTTCCTCTATTTTGTATGTGGGATGCCCCCACAGCATGGCCGCTGACAAGTGATATAGGTCCATGCCTGGGAACCGAACCTGGACTGCTGAAGCAGAGTGCGCTGAACTTAACCACTAGGCCACAGGGCCAGCCCTACGTTACTGTCTTTATTCAGCCTGGTTCATATGGTCAGTCTTTCAATCAGGAATTTTCTCACCAAGATGGACTCTGAATGCCCCTGGCCTTTCTGACATGCCCAGTGAGGCACTCTGACGCCGGTCCATCCATAATCTTCTCAGTCTCTGTTCCTGGTCTCAGGTTCCACAGTGATGCTAGAGGAAGATGCAGAATGTGCAGCCGTGACCTGCCGCTCACCTGTCATGTCCAGCCCCATCCAGGCCTTGGCCCTGGGCTATATTTAACATATTGCTTGTTAGTTACCTATCAAGTTGATCCCAGTGACTGTGTTAGTCGAGGCTAAACGGGAGCATTAGCAGGTCATGTGCCACCTGGCAGCTCTACCCTCTTGACCAAAGGGCAGGATGGCTGTCAAGCCCACAGCATCCCTGCAGCCCAGCACAGCAGCAGAGCCCACAGGCAGGGAGAGGGGCGTGCCGTTCACACCACAGCGGCGGCTGTGTTTGCAGGAAGGCACATCTCCTTAGAAATACAGTGATGACGCTCTTGGAGGGTGGGCTCTGAGAAATCACAGGCAGAAACTGAAAATCCCCTTCTGTGTGTACAAAACCTCTGCTGCTGGAGAAGGCCCTTCAGAAGCTGACAGGGAGAGCGAGGCCCAGGGGTGAGTGGATGGTGCCCAACCAGGCTGAAGAGAGAGGGGATCCACACTGCACAGGGACTGAGAAATTCTCCTTTTGTTGCCCTTGGCCTCAGGCGTAGAGTGTTGAGTCCACGCTCCTTGGCTCGTCTGACGACTCCCTCCCCGGCCCCTCCTAACATCGCAGTTGTGACAACACACACACACACACACACACACACACGTTTTTAAAATGTGCCGGAATATAGCTCCTATTCCATGGTGAGGGTTGAGTTGTTAATCCTTTTGCTATTTTCATGAAGTCATGAGTTAAAGAACCCCTCTCAGGTCTGGTTAAAGGTAAACTGAAACTGAGTGGAATTAGCTAACGATTGTAGAAGAGATTTCTGTGCCTAGGACGAGCATTTATCCTCTCGTCCAGTGAATACTTACCAAATGTCCACGATGTGTTAGTATTGGCTTTATTTTTCTTTCAACTTGTAGGACTGCTACATTCATCAAGTACCCACCTGGGGGGCTTTTCTGACACCAGTAAATTCTCCGATCCTAAGTGGGTGTCCTACAATTCAATCTATTTCTGACCCTAACTGCTCAGAGTTCGTGCAGACCCCACAGGTTAAGGGCTCAGTCCCACAAAACTGCCCCCACTTCAGACGCCAGTTGTAAGTCCCAGGCCACCTGAACATTGACCAGCTGGCTACAAATCAGAGGTTCTCATGACCCCTCCTCAGGTCCCATAATTTGCTGGGATGGCTCACAGAACTCAGGAACACACTTTATTTATATTTACCAGTTTATTATAAAGGATGCAACTCAGGAAAGCCAGATGGAAGAGAGGCACAGGCCAGAGATGCTTATGGGGTGGGGGAGGGACACAGGGCTTCCGTGCACTCCCCAGGCACGCCATCCTCCCTACACCTCACTGTGTTAACCAACCCAGAAGCACAACCATCAAGCAGTTAGCCATTGATGATTAAGTAGCTAGGAACTAAAGTTTTTTTTCCTTTTTGCAATTACAGATTGTAGCTTTTAGTTGTCCCTTGCCCATTGTTAACTGTGCTGTTTAGGCAACATGCTATCTGACTCCCACTAGATAACATCTCCTTGAAGCCTGGGTCACCATGGTAATGGATGTTTGAGCTGTTTTTCAGGAATTAGAACCCCTTGTCCACTTCAGGCAGGTTGAGACTACCAACTCATGAACTGGGCCCGTGCAGATGTCCGATAGTGACCTTTTGATGTCAAGAGGCTAAGAAGTCCACTCTTGGGTCATGCCAACACCGCCATTTTGTGAACATGCGCCCTATGAAGAGGCATGAAGTCTGCCTACACTTGTGCAGATCATCAATTACCTCACCTCTCCTCACCTCCAATCATCTGTCTTCCCATTTCAGATCACCTTGCCCCTTACCCCATAAATACCCCTGAGTCCCCATTTTGGGGGAAGTGGATTTGAGACTCATTCTCCCATTTCCTCACTTGGCTGCCTTGTGATTAAACCCTCTCTCTCTGCAATCTCGTCATCTCAGTGATTGGCTTTCTGGGAGGCGGGCAAAACAAACCTAGTTCCGTAACAGAAGCTCCCTGAACCTCCTTCAAGAGTTTGTGTTGGGGCCGACCCAGTGGCGCAGCTGGTTAAGTGTGCGCACTCCACTGCTGCGGCCCGGGGTTCGCCGGTTCGGATCCCGGGCACACACCAATGCACCACTTGTCAGGCCATGCTGTGGCGGCATCCCATATAAAGTGGAGGAAGATGGGCATGGATGTTAGCCCAGGGCCAGTCTTCCTCAGCAAAAAAAAAAAAAAAAAAAAAAGGGGGGGTTGGGAAGAGTTTACCACAGGGCTATTCTCCCACAAAAAAAAAAAAAAAAAAAAAGAGTTTGTGTGGAGCTCCGTCTCCATCCCCCACCCTCCTCCCTCTTCCCGAGGTTGGTGGTGGGGCTGAAAGCTCCAACCCTAATCACTTGGTCTTTCTGGTGACCAGCCCCATCCTGAGAATCCCCACCCTAAGACACCTCATTAGCATGAACTCAGATGTGATTGAAGGGGCTTGTTGTGAATAACAAAAGACACTCCTATCTCCCAGGCTTTTAGGAGCTCTGGGCCCAGAACCAGGGACAAAGACCACATACATTCTTGTAATCTACCACCATTGTTGGTGTCTCCGATGCTCAGCCAAGATCCCTGCTGCAGACCTGAGCCTCCTTCCCCCAAGTGCTGGGAGTGTCAGCAGCTCTTGGCTGGGTTGCCCTCTGGAATTGCCCTCAGCTGAGGATGAGGTGACCACCTCATCCAAGGTTATACACCCTCCCTGGGGAAGCTGGCATTCAGTGACTGGCCTGTGGGGGCCCAGAAGAGCGGCTCTGAAGGACCTTCCTAGCTCCAGGCTTTACTGTGACTGCATTCTAGTTCAACTGTAGTCTCCGCCCACTCCTATTACTTCATTCCCCCTTGCTGTTAATCCCAAGGGCATTCCCTAACAAGACTCTTGCACACAAATCTCCCTCATTCAGAAACGGGAACCCACCTAAGACAGCAGGCATTATGCTTGGTTTACACGTAACCAGGCATAAATGTATGCTATTTACATGTAACATATATTTTAAATTTCCTAACAACCCCATAAGGTGGACATTATGAACCCCTTTAGAGAAGAGGACATGGAAAACTAGCAAGGTTGAATAACTTTCCCAAAGTCCCAGAGCTAAGAAAGCGGCAGAGGCTTAGCTCCATAGCTATACTCTTCTCCCTGGGACACGTCACCACTCATCATTCAGGTGCCACCCAGAGCCTGGGGCAATGTGGTAGGAATCAGGGGGAGGGAGGCCTAGGGATCAGGTCGGGTCAGGAGGTGTTAGAATCGCTGAGCTGTGAGGAAGCAATGAAAGCCGGGAAAGAGTCCAGGTGGGAGGCTGGAGAAACGGACTCTTCCACCAAAGTGGGGCGCCAAGATCCAGACCATGTAGGTGGGAAGAGTCAGAAAGGAAGTAGGGGAGGAAGAATGAATTGAGGGAGTGAACAAGTGAAGCAATTCAGAGTCTTAATCCACAACCCAGTGTGACTTCTCTGTGGGTCCTGGGGTATGTCACTGGGGTGGACACATCTTTCAAGGAGCTTTTAAGTGTAACATTGGCTGCATCTCATAATCTTTATGTATTTTGTCATTTAAGAAAATCTACTTCTCTGTTCTAGATTTGCCACCAATCCAGAGTAATTTATTACCCAGATAGGAAAGATCCACATACAGTTAAAAAGAGGGTTCACTGACATGTTCTACCATTTAGCTGCTAATTCTGAAGCTGGGTACATGAGGGTTACTGTAAATATTCAAAAAGAACAGGATTACCTTTTGACCTTGTTCCCAACACAGACATAGAGGAAAAGAAGTTAATCTCGGTAATTTGCTGTTTTCTTTTTTAATCTGAGGGGTGACTCAAGGGTTACAAGGATTTACGAGCTTGTTTTGCAGAAGAAAAGAATGCCTTAAAGGACCTTAACATCATCAAATAAACAGCCCCCAGCTGCATTGATGCCCAGAAGTCAGGTTGCCCAAAGGCTTACCAGGAGTGAAAGAAACCAGGACTTCCCCTTTGTTTCTCCAGAACTCCTCCTGCCAAGCGCCTTAGCTCTATAAAACCTCCTGCTTTCTTCTCTTGTTAAGGCGGGTTTGAGGGAACCTATCCTCTTGCCTTCTCATTTTGGCCAATTCAAATAAAGCTTTCTCCATCTCCAAGCACCAATGTCTCAGTGATTGGCACACAAATTTGAGATTAAGAGGTTCAGTATCACTTCTACATTATTAAATGTATAATTTTGGACTGTAGTTTTAAAAGATTTCTTTGTCACCTGAGAACTTATTATGCATCTAGGAGGTGTAGGTTTCCAAGTACGTTTATGTTTTTGTTTCCTCCTGTCTTCCTGCCAGTTCATCCTTCCATTAAGCCTTTAGGGAACACTTATTAAGTTAGACTGCAGGCGACCAAAAATCAATAGAACACAGTTCCTGTTGAGGCATTAACAGTTGAGTGGGAGAAATAGATATTTAAAGAATAACCACGAGGACAAAAAGGCACATGCAACAAGCTGTGAGCGCCCATTGGAGGGAGCCACTAACTCCAGGGATAATAGTCCTAGGGGGGTTTAAGGGAAATGTCCCCAAGACTGGAACTCAGGTTACACTGAGAGCAAAACCAGTAAGATCAATTCATGGTGGATAAGGTTAGCCCCGTCAGGAAAAGTTATCCAACATGTTGTCCGTAAAAGTGTGTCTCCTCTGCTTAAACCCTTCAATGGCTCTCTGTTGTCCTTGGGAACAAGTTCAGACTTCTCGCCATGACCTTCCATTATCCCTGCCTACTTTTCCAGCCTCATCTCAGATTCCCAGTGATTAGCAAGCACGAGAAAGGTGAGAATCACATGGGATAAGGCATGAAGACTTAGCAGAGAGCTTGGCACTTGTGCCAATTACACACACACACTGCAAAGAATTGTCAACGGGGTCCAAGCTGAGAAACTCCACGTTAGAGTCTTCTTTTTGCCCTTTTCAGCTAATTTTATGCATAAACAAGTCTCTATATTAAATTCTCTCTGATCAAATAATTTGTCATGGTTTTTGA